ATGGAAAAATTGAGCAAAAAATGAGAGTTTCAGCAAAAGAGGCAGCCATTGACTAATTAATCCTGTCCTGTCAAGCTACTAAGGCATAACCAAAAACGTAAACTGAAAAAAAAAAAACCAACTATATTCTGTGAAAACAAAGTCAATGTTTGTCTACTGCGAAAGTACAAAGTCAGCAGGGGAGACTGCTTGGAAGCTTGTAAGAAAGCAGTAGAGAAATGTTTTTTTGGTTTCTTTTTTCCTCCAGTCAAACTTGGCTTCTTCTAAAAAACAAAGCAAGGCAAAAGATGAAAGGCCCTCTCTTCTGAAGCCAAAGATGAAGAATACAAAGAATATTAATGACTAACAAGTCTGTCTGTAAATGCCATGAGCTTAGCTGGAATAGGGACTAAAAGGAAGAACAGTACTGCTATTAACTAATAAGTTTCTGATCTAACGAGCAGTGATGAAGGCTGATTGGGTCATTTATGGAAGGGAAYATTAGTTCAGAAGAACACAGGTTCCTTACAGAGGATAAAAGGAAAGAAGGAAAGATGCCATTATATATATGCAAAAGCTTAGGATGGTTCATTCACCCAGCCACACAAAGGTAGACAATTCCCAATTAGGGCTTGTCTGTCCCTCATGTTTGTGTGTGCAGGTATGGCAGATGGCTCTCTTGTGGAAAACTTGAGAATTGGGGCAAATTTGTCACTTGCCTTATATAACAAAACACTGGATTTGATGAATTGCATTTTGTAAAGGAAAAATTCAAAGCACGCAGAAGCAGCCACCACAGCTTCCCAATGCCCTGGTGTCCTGCAGGGTCCAGGACAGTCATAGTGACCAGGAGCACAGCCCTGCCAGATCAGTGCAAAGCCCATTCTTCCCCGTTTGAAGTTTCCCCATTCTCCTTTGAGAAATTCTTCTAATTTAAGCAAGTGAAACACAATAAAACSAGGAAGAAGGAAAAAGAACCACCTCGGAGCCAAAAGTGACACCACGCCAACTTCAGATTTGGAAACTGATTCATTTGCCAGCTCATAGGCACACACACCTAGCGTGTCTATATTTATAYGCATGGACTCAGGCTCCCTGCTCTGTTGAGGCACTCTGAGTATTTTTAAATCACCCAGAAATCAAGAATCACCGTACTGAGAGAAGATGGAAAAATTCCCYTTTCTCTAAGCCCAGATTAGAGGGATCTTGACGCATCAGCTCTGCCCGTAGCATCCAGCAAGGCTGAGAGCCAGCACGGACACACAATTTGCTCTGAGATTCCTTCCCTTAACAGGCCACTGCTCGCTCCTGCAGTCAGGCTGTATTTTGCACTGCAGGCRGTGTGAGAAGGCTCTGTGTCAGGATGGAGGTCTGGGAAGCATTTAGACAGTGTGAAAAACGACAATGTGGAACCCAGCACCGTCAGAGAGCTGTGCTGCTGCCCCTCCTGGGCTGGGAATTCAAAGCTCCGTGTTCAATGCCCAACTTTGTCCACAACCCGAGCCCCCTCAGCATCCCCTTATGGAAAAGGGGGATAACAAACACATCTCAGCAGCATCACAAGGGTTTGTTAATGCTTGTAAGCACTTTGTAGATAAGGAACATCAAGACAGCAGTTAGCAGAGGGATTTGGGGCACAGACAGACATAAATCCGAAGCACTCRTATCCTATATTCCTTTTAGACAAGCACAGCAGCAGATCAGCTCCCTGCATTTAGTGGTTGTGGGCTCCATCCTCTCAACAGACTGAGCACTCTGCCTTTGATCCAAAAAAATGAGTCTGTGGAGAATATTCACATGTTTAATGTTAATCATATGCTTAAATCCTCTGAATCTATAAAGAGGGTAAAAGAGAAAAGTGTTCCCCAGCTCCAAAACAAACACAAATTCCCAGAAGTTATATTTAGGACATGAGCAAACATTTGGCCGGGAAAGGAAAGGCCTTCACTGTGCACCTGCTAAGCTTCTGCATCCCTGAGGAAACCTGCAGGTGGGGAAAGTGTCCAGAGTGAGTTTGCTTAGACAAAACCTTTCTAAAATAACCAGCGTGGTGATATTTGAAAGAAGCACCCCAGAGCATGTGACCTACTATTCTTAGACAGGCAGAGCAGTCTTTGAGCAAGGAAATCAGAAAACAGAATAAATGAAGTTTATTAAGAAATTCACCACACAGATTTGTACTTCTGACTGGGAATTTGTAGTTGCAAATGAATACATTCATTTATTAATTATCTGCTGTGAGAGAAGAGGCCTCCCTCAGAGGACAGCCAATGCCACCACTCCTCACAAATTTCATGTGACATTAGCAGCACCTAGAAAGCATCTTCTCATAGCTCTGCATCTGAGCAAAAGGCAAYGGATCCTCCTTACAGCCTTGTTCATTTTCAGCACAGAGCTCCTCTCTCATCCTCACTATCTGAAACATCTGACTCAATTTTCATCCTGCTCAACTCCTGGGCTAACTAATGGTTTGGGGCTACCAGTCTCCTGAATCAGCTGGCCAGAGTGTCCAGCAGTCTCTGCTCTGGCACCAACCCCACCTCCATCCAGGCCATCCTGAGTCCTTTCCTGCAGAGGGATCATGGTCAGGGAGTGAGGGSACAGCTCCTCCAGCTCAGGTGAGCTCAGCAGAGCAGGAGCAGGGCCCTGCAGCACTGGGATGGAGCAGCCCCAGACATCCTGCAGAGCTGAGCACTTCCAGCTACACCCACAGCGTGGACACAGCCCTGACCAGACGAGCATCTGCGGCACAAACACAGAGCTGCTTCCAGAGATGATTTTCCCAACCCTGTTAAACAAGCATGTGTAGCAAGAAAAGCCTCAGGCAACCAAAGGGCCACTATGCAGAGCTTCATTGCTGTAGCAGAGCCGTAAACATTACCCAGCTTACTCACAGCAACATTTTACCAGCGACTGAAAAGGACAAATCACTCTCTCACCAGCGTAAATTGGCCACGAAGTTAAATAAGGCTGCTAATTATTTCTAAGGGTTTTTAAAGAATCCTTTAGGATTACTGTCCTMTAATTCGATTAAATAATGCTATAAATCTTTTCAACTAAACATCATTAGGTGAAGTTGACTTGATGGTATAAAAGAACCATTTTCTTAACTAATAGCTTTTTGAGAAGTGTGCTGTGTTTTATCACACAGCACTTTTACCTCAGTAAACCAGAGGGAGCTGTACTAGTCACACCTTATAAAGGGTTAACAAGGTGTTTATCTTCCTTGTTTGGCTGAATTAGAACTACACAAAATGCCCTGACTGAAAGGAGGCAGAACATACCCCTGCCTTCACCTGCTGTAAACCAAGTAGCACGAGGGGTGGAATTACATTGGTAGGCGAGGCTGTAAGAAGTCCAAGGGAAGTTAAGACACCACTAGGAATCCTGGTTGTATTTCTCCATCTCCTTTGCAAGACACTTTGCTGTCCCAAGGTTCATGAACACTACAAAAAAMCACGAAGTTCACTGCTGTGGCAGCTTACCAGCACGACCTGGCAGACCCCAGCACTGGGGAAACCCTCTGGAGAGGACTGAAAGCCCCAGAGGACACCTCCAGGACTTTCTAGGAAGAAGCACTGTCTCCTATGATGGGATGAGCCACAAGGCATCACTCTGAGCCTGTGCAGTGTAGAGCATCTCTCTCAATAATCTCAGATCTCTTAGACACCTCTGGTGCCTTTGCTTTGTTCAGGGCCTCCATTAACATCACCCAGGATTTCATTACCAGGCACTTTCCCCTGGCTGGAGCCTTGACTCTTCCCTGGCTCTATTGCTGCTTTGTTGAAATGTATAAACAGCCAGAGGGTAACACAGAAATGCATTCCCCACCCTCACTCCCCATCCCAGACATCCTCCAYCCCACACAGGCAGCCCACTCCTTCTCCCATCCCCAAAACAGGTGAGGTTAAGAGAGTCCTGAGAAGCAGAGCAGCACCAAGGGGCACTTTCAGCGCTGAGGAGGGCAGACACCTCCAGGCACAAGGTGCCAGCGGCTGCACCACAGAGCACAGGGATGCCACAGCAAGAACCTGGGCAAGGACTGCTGGAATACACAGCTTTTCAGCTACATTGACTTGAGAACAATAATTAAATTCCAGTCTAATTTCCTTGTGATCTACAGCTCTAACTTGCGAGTGACTCCCATTAAGTCAAATCCCAACTGTGGTATCACTCTGGATTTTTGCATTAAATAAGGAGCCCAGGAAGCTACTAAAACAATGACAATCTTTTTATCTGGAAAATASCTGCCCAGGAAATGTCTCCTGTGAAACACAAATGTCAGTATTTTAGGTTTCAGTAGCATCATAAGATGTGCCATCACCACCCTACTCAACACATGGGCAGAGACCATCRAGTCTAGAGAATACAATCAAAACATAAATGGTTCCTCCTCTACACTTCTCTTTTTCCTCTTCATCTCCCAGTGTTTCATGCTGTGCCAGGGGGAGCAGTGCCCAGTGCAGGTCCTCAAACAAGCCACCAAAACACCCAAGGCTATGGGATGTCATCCAGGAATACCCTGGGTATTAAAGGCACCACGGACTGTCGAGGGCTGTGCAGCTGCTGCCCTGTGCTGGTAATTGGGTACCGCGGACACGCTCCCGCCSTAAGCACATCTTTGACATAACACAGCATGACAATTTTTTCAGAGTCACAGAAATGCAGAGCATACAAATAAACCTGAATGCTGAAACCATTTCATTGTTCATAAGAATATGCACATTGCACCTGTTMCGACCAAGGGCACTGTCTGCGCCTTGGAACTGATTATTTCAGCCTCTAACAAGCCTGTCTGTCTCGAAAGACTGTTAAACTCCAGGAGTTAATAAAACACCACAAAATTATTTTATAAAAAGAAATCATTACTAAATATACAGAGAAAGATCTTTAAATGCAAGGTAAAGGAAACAATCCACAAACTGACATTTTTCTCTCGGCTTCTCACAACCGCCAAGTCAATTTAAATCAAATTTAGCTGAAACAAAATAACTCCAAAATTGATATTGGTAAAGTCCTACCCTGAAACAAACGTTCGGGAGCCCAAGTGCACCCTCAGCCCGGGACTCCCGATGGGAAGGAAGGCAGGACGCTGTCGCGGCAGGAGCGGGGAGCGCTCCCCCAAACCCCGTCCCGGCGGGAGGGAGCAGCCGGTGGCGGCGGCGCTTCTGCAGCCCCGAGGGGAMCCGCAGCCGCCGCAGGGAGCAGGTGGCACAGCCGGTCCCCGCAGCCGAGCCCAGCCCCGGCACCACCGCCAGCACGCGTGGGGAGCCGGGCCGGGGGTGGATTTTGGGCGGAGGGAAGGAGACGGCGGAGCGCAGGAGAGGAGCGGCAGCCGCGGCTGCGGCAGCGCGGGGCGGGGAGGGCACGGCACCGGCACCGGCACCGGCACTCACCGAGCTACGCGCGGCTGCTGCTGCTGCTGCTGCTGCCCCCGCTGCCGTCCATGGGGGCGGCGGCGGGACCGGAGCCCGCTGCGGGCCAGAGCCGCCCCACGATCCGCCGCATCTGCCCGGCGCCGCCGCCGCCGCGGAGGAGGAGGATGAGGAGGAGGAGGAGGAAGAGCGGAGCGCGCCGCCCCGGAGCCCCGCGCAGCCCGGCCGCAGAGCGCCGCCTGCCCGCCGCGCCGGGATGGGATGGGATGGAAGGGATGGAGGGATGGGCTCCCGGAGGAGCAGGGGGGCCCGGCCGCGGGGGCAGGTGCAGCCGCCCGGGGCGGGGGGCGGCGCGGAGCCGGAGCGGGCGCGGCCCCGGGGCGGTGCAGCTGCCGGAGCGCGGAACGGGGGGCGAGGAGCGGCTGCAAGCGCCTGTGCACAACGTGGCCAGGCGCGAATCTGCCCCGCGAGGGCTTTTAATGAAGTACAGATGTTCCCTAATATAATTATATGGTCCTCTCCCCGATAATTGGCTTTGGCAGCCGCGCCGATCGAATCCCCCCGTGCGGCTGCCGTGCGCTCTCCSCGCCGGCACCGCCCCGACACCGCTCCCGGGCTCTGCCCTGGGRACCCCCGGCTGCAGGGGCACCCTGCACGGCCAGGGCCCACTCCTGAGAGCCCCGACTTCAGAGACCTGCGATTTCAATCGAAGCTTTTGGCTCGCAGCCGGTAAAGATTGAGGGGCAACGTTTATTTAGTTATTTCTTAAAGTGCATTTCCTTAGAAAGCATGGGCATGCTTTTCACCCGGGAGGATGAAACACCGTGGTTGTAGGACTGAAAGGTCACTGCACACGTTGGGGAAGGACTTTGCTGTTGAACAGGGGCACAGCACTGCTTTGGGATGGCAGCAGAGGATGTTCCGGCTGGCTGAGCAGGACCAGCACCCTCCCTGTGCAGCTCCCTTGCTGTACCTGTGCTCTCAGCCAGCCAGGTGAGCTGCAGATGGTTAAAACACCCCGGTTCTCCCCAGCTTAGTTTGTCTTTAGGGAAATTGCCAATGAGGACACGCTAACACAAGCCAGATGTGTGGGTGTTTTGTGCATCTCTGTGGGGAAAATGGATCAAGCCCACAAATTCATCTTGCAGAGGACAAGCAGCCAACACGAGGTAATGATTTCTAGTCACTACAGGCCCCAGACCACACTGCTTTCACCCGATGACTCAAAGCTGAAACCCAGCCATGCCATTCCTGCTGACACCTGGACACTCTGAGGTGTGTAAACACTTCAGATAAGCAGGATTAGGGAATTCTTTCAGCCCAGGGTTGCAGAGGGGAGCCGCAGAGAGCTGACGCACCTCTCTCATGTGTCAGCTCGGGCAGTGTCTGAGGGGATGGGCAGTCCTCTGTGTTAATTCAAAATGTAGGTTGGAAGTCAGCTCCCCCATCCCAAAAGGGAGCRCGTCCTGCCCACTGCTCTTGCCCAGTCCAGGGTCTTGACCACCAGCTCTTACCAATTTAAGTGAAGGCAAGGGGCTACAGCTCTTTCAAACAATTACCAAGTTCTCAGCACTTTCAAGCCCACAAAAACAGTCATGCTCCCCTTTTATATTAACCAGTGCTACCAAGGTGAACTGAGAATCATTTTGTACCTCTGGAAAGGGTGAAGGGGTGGCTCTGCCCAGAGACTGGAGCAACATCAGCATGAATCCTGTTCTCAGCATGAGGAACTCTGCCTTTGACTCAGCAGGAGCAGTAAAACCCTCCTTGTTTTCACACCTGTGCTCTGTGGATTTTTGAGGGACCAAAGCAGATGGGGTTTCACAGGCTGGGCAGGACATGGAGCATCCTTGGTTTGCCTTCAGAGGGCCCTCTCTAGGGTTTTGCTCACCCTCTAATGCCCCATGGCTGCTCAGAAGATGGAGAATCCAACACAATCACAGAAATATAAGTGATTCTTTGYCTTTCAGCCACTATTTCCATGTGTCTGCGTTTGGTTCTTGATTCAGTTCTGATCCCCAGAGGGTGAAGGTGTGGGGAAGGTGAGGTGTCAAGAGTGTATTCCCTGAGCACAGATGGCTCTGCAGTGGGTGTCTTAGGAGGCAGGATGGGGATGAACAAAGACTATCTATCTCTTCCTCCCGTTTCATTTCAGCCATAGTAGAATCTTAGAAGGATATAAATATAGAAGACATGAGGGAAGCACAAAAGCAATTCAACCTGGAATGACATGGCTTGAAACAGGGCAAGCAAACTGACAGACTGACTCTGCAATTTCTTTTTTAAAAAACAGCCCATCATATTTACAGGCTCTCACTTGGACTTCCCAATCTTCCTTWAAAACCAACACAGAAATTACTTCAGAGAACTGCGTGGTTTGGTTTTCCCTCAAGGGCAGGAGAACATTCACCTGAAATGGGGGAGCTCTCCAGCCTGAGGGCTCTCTAGTGAAGGTACAAGCAGACTCACTCACTTACCTTGTAGGCAGAATCCTTGCTTTTCTTGTGCTTCATGGGCYGACCTCTCAGCAGGAGCCTTCTGCTCCCTGCAGTTGCACAGGTGAGTATTTTTCAGCTCTSTCTCAGTGACTGAGTTTCTCTGCTGCCTTTTCAGGTGTTAAGCTGATAAGTGTGTGATTTCCAAGGATCAGCTCTGTCGAAGAGAGGAGGAACCATAGACTTACTCCTCTCTGACCTCTCTTATATTCCCTGTCCTCCACCCATTATTAAAGGTAGATGGTTCAGAGCTGGCTCCAACTTGTTCTTTAGATATTTCAGGGTAATCTTCTTCAGGCTTTGCCCTTTTCAGTGCACTTTTTGTTTCGGTGCCCCTCTGCAAATAGGTAGGTGTTACTTCCTGAAAGGGCTGTACTTGTATTTTCCTGGAAGCAGAAAATGGGAAACTTACTGTAAAAATCAACCAGTAACAAGTCAATCATTGATTCTGTTCTTTATTTAATTCCATTTTAGAATAAATTTTTTCTTAAAAGAAACAAGGTAATGTAACTGTTTGATCCTGAACAAGTAAGAGCAATGCTTTTTCCCCTCTGGTGAAAGGCACCTGTCCAGCATTTTATTAATTTTGCTAATTGCATTAAGCATCCTGCAGTGCAGAACAGTCATCAGCTGCTAATTCCCAGATCACTATAGCTGAGTTGGCTGTCAAATGAGAAAAAATCATAGCAGGAAAAAAAAAAAAAAAGATTTTTTAGTAATAATCAAATAATCATACAGTTCTGAATTCTGCTCAGCTACTAGCATTGATCATATTTTATGGACTACTGGAAGATGGTTTWAGGACTCGCACAATAAATATGAGCTGTATGGGTGCAAGTGAGATTGATTAATAGATCTTACATGTTCAGACAATTCCACAAACAAGAAAAATTAGGTTTCCCTGTGTGAATATTTTATGCACATTTTTATGCAGATAATTTGTACCTGCTCTTTCATTTTGTTACCTGTAGTATTACATGTGAACATAATAATAATCTAAATTTACATACGCAAATTACTGGAAGGTCTGGATCTGGCACACTGGGGAATAATTTCTGGCTGGAAACATTAGCAGTGTGATAACTATTTAGACAACTATATGAAATGAAATAAGCACTTGTCAAAGGAAAAATRCATTGTTATGAAAACTGGAATTGGTACAGTCTCAAATAAAAATGGAGCCTGTGAAAACGAGTTAATCAGAAGATCTCTCCTGCCACTCTCCTGCCTTACTGCTTTTTCTATTTCTTTCCTCCTTTTCCTGGGGTGAAATCCTGCAGAGCAGAGAGCTGGGGAAGCAGAAGCAGCTGCACCGTCCTGCAGAGGTGGAAAAGCAGTAAATGCTGGCAGAGGGCTGGCAGGATCCCCCAGTCCAGGCTGCAGGGATCAAACATCCCGTGCCAGGAGGGGACCTGTCCATGCTCTGTGTGCCCCACACACACAGGGACTCGTGGTGCACTCACAGCACGACTGACATGGGAAATGTTGGCCTTTAATTTTGGTCCTGATAGCAGTCAAGACCTGAATTCTGCTCAAGAACAAACAGGAGAAGCAGCAAGGTTAGAGGGGACAGACAGAAGAAGCAGCAGCTGTCCTGCAGCCACTGTCAGGCAGTGATTTCCAGCTGACATGCTTCCATTTTTAAAAAGCATGAGGGCATTTCARCCATAGTTCTGTGAAAGTAATATTATTTCTGCTTTTCCTTATTTATTCATGAGAAAACCTATTCCACAGCCAACCAGAACAAAACTGTGTGGAGAGAAGTGAGGAAAAAAAAAAAAAAGAAACAAAAAGCCAGTCAAGCTAGTGCTAATCATATTAATTTTTATATGTTGTTTATAATTAGCGCTTTTAAGCATTCATTTTCTTTCTTCAATAAAGACCACATCTCTCCAGGACCCTCGCCATGTCCATTGTTTTTGTGACAGGCAGGAGAGATAGGTACCAATTACTTGGCTGTTTTTTAGTGAGTACTCCAAAGTACTTTGATGCAGCAGCGTTGTAAATTCTCTGTAGCAGCTAATTGTCTCATTTTAATTCATTTTTAATGAGACACCTGGGAGAATGAAGAAACATCACAAACCCMCAAAAATCCCAGAATATTTTTGAATTGGTCTCCCAGCCTCTGCTTGTTTCTGCCTTCCTACAAAAGGACTTTTTGGTACTAGCACATAAAGGTGCAGCATCATTCCCTGTCACATCATAACCTTCTCCCACAGGCAAGGGAGGATGGTGGTAGAATCTATAAAACACCATGGAAGGAATCCAGAGAGGAGTCTCTGGCCTTCAGATGTTCTACATCTTCATCACTTCTGTCTCTCTGGACAGCTGAGCCATATTTCCTCCGTTGCCAGCAGGCTGCAAGAAGGAAGAGTAGGGTCATTGCTCATTATCATTCGACATGCAGATGTGATTCTCAGATAGAAAAAAAAAAAAGGTGTCAAAGTGGTTATTTTCTTCAGCAGCAGCAGCTGATTAATTYCATACTCTTTTTGTG